AGCAGACTGAAGATACCAGGAAAATGATCGGATTCTAGACAGGGTTTCTGTTCTGTCTCACAGAGCCCAGTCAGGCTCTGAACTCTTGATCCTCCCGCTTTTAACCCCTAAACGCTGGGATTACAGGCATACCCATCACACCCGGCCAGACTCTAGACATACTCTCCTGGTAGAGATGACCGACTGTTAGGGGCTATGGGATGTAAGTTGAAAAGGAAGGGTCCCCAAGACTTGCTTGGCCCTCCACCACTAGAGAAACTTAGCTGCCTGTGCTAATGCATGAATGCTGTGAGAAGCAGGTTTGGACTGGTCAGGTTGGAGAAGATCAGTATTATCTGGGTGAAGATGTCAGCGGGAGGCTGGACAGGCCCAGGCTGGCACTGTTAGTGTTAAGCTCAGGGCACTGCAGATGGCCCCTGAAGCCTCAGACCAGGAGTCATCCTTCTGCTGAACAGAGGGATGCAGAGATTCGCCCTTACAAGACTGAACCCTGGCACACCCAAGACTCAGTGTGATGGCTCTTCTGTTTGTCAACTTGACTACATCTGGAATTAACTAAAACCCCTCAAAAAGGGCTGGACATACCTGTGAGGGATTTTTGTTTTGTTTTTTTGGTATAACTTGGATCATTTGAAGTGGGAAGATCCATTTCTAATCAGGATCTTTGAGGTGGGAAGACCCACCTTTAATCTAGATCAGTGGCTCTCAACCTCTTTGTGGGGTCGACCAATCCTTTCACAGGGACCATTGGAGAACACAGATATTTACATTACAATTCACAACAATAGCAAAGTTACAGTTATGAAGTTGTAACAAAAATCATTTTATGGTTGGGGGGTCACCACAAACGAGTAACTGTGATAAAGGGAGGGCTGTAGCGGAGCTGGAGAGGTGGCTCAGGCCTGGCACCACTGATGTTTCAGGATGGGAAGATCCACCACGAATCTGGGCCACACCCTCTGCTGGAAGCCTACATAAAGGACAAGGGAGACGAAGCCCTCCTTTGCCCGCTTCCTCCTGCCCCGGCTACCAAGTCCATTTCTTCACTGGCATAGAGCCTAGTTCTTCAGGATTGTGTGTGTGTGTGTGTGTGTGTGTGTGTGTGTGTGTGTGTGTGTGTGTGTAGGAAGAGTGAGAGAATGAGAGAGAGATTCATTTTTTGTTACTCTCTCTAGAGAACCCTGGTTATTACACTCAGTGTTGTTTGCACAGCTACAAAACAAGAAACTGATTCTGATATGGCCTAGGGAGAGCTGGTTCTGCCTGGTTTTAGCAGGTGAAGAACCTGAGGTGCCCAGCAGGGATCTGCCTAAGGCTATGCGGTTAGTGACAGAAGAATGGTCACAAGTGGGGATGCTGAGCACCAGAGGCCATCCTCCTCACAACTGATGTCACCTCGTCTCTAACAATGCAGGCCTTAAGAGGCTGGCTCTGGAGTCACACTGGCTCTGGAGTCACACTCATGACAAGCTGCTATTTAATTTCTCCTTGCTCCAAGGCTCTTTGGTTTTGGGGTTTGGTCTTGTTTTGTTTTGTTTTCGAGACAGGGTTTCTCTGTGTAGCCCTGGCCGTCCTGGAACTCATTCTGTAGACCAGGCTGGCCTCGAGCTCACAGAGATCCGCCTGCCTCCGCCTCCCAAGTGCTGGCATTAAAGGCGTGCGCCACTGCGGCCGGCCCTCCAAGATTCTTACTCAGTAGTGTGCGAATGGTGACAATCCGAGGTCGTGATGAGGCAGCACCGGGAACAGACTCGGGCACGCATTAACATTCAACAAATATTAGTTATCATATTATTACCGAGCTCAGAGTCCTTTCACTGTCTATTGTGTGTGTCGGTGGCGCCACAGCACACACGTGGAGGTCAGAGAACAACATGCAGGAGTTGGTCCTCTGCATTCACCATGGTTCAGGGATCAAACACAGGCCATCGGGCTTGGGGCGATCACCTTTACCCACTGAGTCTTGAACCAGCACCGAGAGGGCTTTACAAAAGATCCTTGTGTAAAAACTAGAAACCACCGACTTCTGAGTGTGCTGTCTCTCCACAAGTATAAACCTTATTTCATACTTTCTGAATTTCATTACTCCGAAGGGGACCAATGACTAAGTCAGCCTGGAGCTGAGGAGAGATCCAGGCTGGAGGGCTAAAAGCAGGAGAGGCCAGGCCAGAGCAGATGAGGCACAGTCTGGGGAGGGAGGAGAAAAGGTGCTAAAAACCACTAATCACTCACACAGCAAAGACTCAGACAAAACCAGAAGCGGACTCAACGGCGTGAATCCAGACCAGATACAGTCTCAAGGCAGAGCGCACAGACTCCTCTCCCAGCTTCCGTTCTTCACCCACAAGACAGTAAGATAACGGTAGGACTCTCTTTCTCGGATTAACAGATTTAGGTCACCGATTCCTACCAAACTAGAAGGAGCAAGAGGGCTGGCAAGATGGCTCAGTAGGCAAAGGCTTCTGTGCCAAGGCTGAGGACCTGAGCTCAATCCTTGTGACCCACACGGTGGAAGGGGAGAACCAACTTCCATGACTGTGCACTCGAGTGCACACAATTAACAAAATGTAAAAAAAAAAAGGGGGGGGGAGCACAAACATCCCAAGATCTCTCTAAAATGGAGCTGTAGGGGAGCAAGATGGACAGACTTACAAGAATAACAAATGAAGCTGGGCGGTGGTGGTGCACACCTTTAATCCCAGCACTCAGGAGGCAGAGGCAGGTGGATCTCTGAGTTCAAGGCCAGCCTGGTCTATAGAGTGAGTTCCAGGACAGCCAGGGCTACAGGGCTACCCCAGAGAAACCCTGTGTCAAAAAACTAAAAAAAAAAAAAAAAAGAATAACAAATGAGGGAGCTCAGAGTTTGAGAGAGAGCTGGCTCGGTGGTTAAGAGCACTCGCTGCTCTTGCAGAGGACCCAGGTTCAGTTCCCAGCCCCGACACAGTGGCTCTCAACCAGCTGTACCTCCAGTTCCAGGGGATCCAATGCCCTCTTCCAGCCTCCAAGAGTACCAGGCACACAGGTGGTGTATATACACAAGTTCATGGAGGTAAACACCCATCCACATAAAGTAAAAAGAACAACAGACCAAATCTCCTAAAACTCACAGAGGCCTCCCCTGCAGCTCAGTGTTCTCAGGCAGGCACTCTCAAACCTTTTATTCTTCAGACAATCAAAGGGGCAAGGGAACCCTCTAGACTAAGCCTGGCTCTCTGATGTTGACAGATGTGTGAGGCAACATTAGTTTCCATTCCAAAGGCAGGACACTTATCACCTACCGCACTCACGAATGGGACAATGACACTATCTTAAGAGTTCCACGCCAGGCGAGAGGCCCCATGCCCATAATACTAGCATATGAAAGACTGAGATAGGAGAATTACTGTGGGTTGGGTGAGATTTTTGTCTCAAAACAAAACAGAGCTCCAAACCACTGGGCTGGAATGACAGCTCAGTCCATAGACTTCAAGACTCTAAACCTATGGGGTTTTTGTTTTGTTTTGTTTTGTTTTTTAAAGCTGGGGTGTGGAACACACTTGTAATCCATACACTGGGAAGACATGAGACAAGATCCCGAAGCTCTCTGGATGGTCAGCCTAGTCTACTTAGCGAGTTCCATGCCAATGTGAGAACCTATCTCAAAAGGATAAAAGGAGAGCGAGACCACAGCTGAGGAGCAACATTTAAGGACATCCTCTGATCTCAAGCAGGTGCACACGAGGGCCGTATTGCCCAGTATGTACCCTTACATACATGAACACACATGGGGACTGGTAAAAGAGAGACTGCCTAGGCTCTGGAAAGCCAGTCAATGGCACCTTCTCCCCCACGCCTGCTGGATGGCAACACAGCAGGGCTAAGCAGATGAACAGGGAGGCTGGTGACATTTCCGGCTCCCACCATCCCATGGCAGAGGCACACAGATCCCGACCCATCTTTTCCCCTCTGGGTAACCGAGGACTCAACAGCTGTAAACAACCGCTGCCCTGCAGGCCCAGCATAGAGCGACAGACAAGAGCATACCTCTGATCCATTGTGTTGTGGAAGTGCACTGTAGGCCGTTCCTTTGTTATCGTGACCTTTCATGTGACTTTTGAGACTGTACTGAGTGCTAAATGTCTTCTCACAGCCGTTGCTGGGGCAGAAGAAGGGTCTTTCGCCTGCAGGAATGCAGAAGACGTGTTAGTTTCACCATGAGGCAAAGCTCTCCCTTCTAACAACACAGGGAGGGTCTGTGCCAGAGCTCTTCACAACTGAACCAACTGAGCAGGCTTTCTCAGTCTTGAAACCCATTGCCTACGAGGGCAGCAGCGGCGGCGGCCCGCCTCACAGCTCTTCCGAAGGGTTATTTCTGGTTTCATGGCTTAAGGCTGAGTTTTTAACTCTGTCCTTAGATCCTTCATGAAAGAAAACAGGCACTGCATGCGAAGGCCACGCTGACTGTGCTCGCTCTCTTCCTAGTTCTACAGGTCTCAAGAGAAACCTGGATAGGTCTGCTGAAGGCTTAAAGGAAAAATGGAGAGCATGCCAGGCTATGTCGGTGACCTTTAACCTGGGCACTGATGAGGCAGAGGCAAGTGGATCTCTCTAGTTCTAGGCTAACCTGGTCTATTGAGGCAGTTCCAGGACAGCCAGGGCTACATGGAGAGACCTTGTCTCAAAAAACAGCAATAACTCTGGACCCCAAGCCCCCCCCCCAAAAAAAAAAAACAGAAAGAAAGAAAGAAAGAGAGAAAAAAGGAAAAGAACGGCAGCCAGCCTCAACTCACCAGTGTGCGTCCGGACGTGAGTTTTGAGGTGGTGGCTTGCTGCAAACGCTTTCCCACAGCCATCGTGGTCACATCTAAACAGGTTGTTTACACAGAGACAGACAAGTCATTCCACAACAGAACCTGATCCTGAAGATCTCGTGTGTGCACACCAGAGCAAATGTTTGGAACGCGAGGATCTGATCAGTCACAGTGGTTTTAGAGGCGGGAATGAGAGGACTTGGGAAAAAAACAAAAAATCGGAGGTGGGTTCGCAAGACGGCTAGGCCAGATAGAGGGGCTTGCCACCAAGCCTGATGTTCTGGGTTCGGATCCCTGGAGCCCACATAATAGGGCAGAAATAACTCTATCAAGTCGTCCTCTGACTGCCACATGTGTACTGTGATATACAAACACACAGACACAGACACACACACACACACACACTAAATAATGAATGAATGAATGAATGAATAAATAATAAATAAATGTAACAAAAAGGGAAGGAAAAGGAGGCACATCTGGAATCATCAGGAGCCGAGAGTCCTGTAGGTAAGGCAAGTGTTTAGCATCCTAGCGATAAAAACCTGGCTAATGACTGGACAGAACTGTGCTGACAGTGACAGTCTGTGGAAAATCTATGGCCACTGAATTATTATGCATATCAAGGGTGGTAAAGAGAGTTGGGCCTACAGACATACATCTGCAATCATAGCACCCAAGAGGCCGAGGCAGGAGGAGGCTCACAAATTCACAGATAGCTTGGCCTACAGAGCGAACCTTGTTTCAAAATGGGGGAAAAAAAAAAAAGAAAGTGGTATGCATGGAGCTGGAAATACAGCATAAAAACACAAACCAAATGCAAAGCACTGGTGTGGCTGTAGTTGAGAACTAGCCACAATCCTCAGTACTTAGCTGACCCCCTCCCCGTCTCAGACAAGGTCTCATGAATCACAGGCTGGCTTTGAACTTTGAACTCTGTAGCTAGGATTACAGGCATGCACCACTATACCAGCTTCTGCAGTGTGAAAGCTTAGGACCAGGGCATCATGAATGCTAGGTGAGCTATACTTCTAGTCCCCACATACTCTCTTGATAATCAAAGCCAGGAATAACCTTCACCTCCTCAGGATTACTAAGGCATTCATCACATGCTTCCTTTATGGCATCTCTCATTTCCAATCTTATTTTATCTCTGTGTGCATTGGGGCGAGGGTGTTTGTCTGAGGCAGGGTCTCACTATGTAGCCCTGGCTGGTTTGGAGCTCACAGAGATCTCCCTGCCTCTCCATCCCCAGTGCTGAGATTAAAGGTGTGTGCCTCCATGCCAGATGTGTGCATATTTTTTAATCTGCTTTCTCAAAGGCAGGGTCTGTGTAGCTCTTCACATTGCTTTAGTTGTTACATAGCAAGAACTTATTTACATATATGACCAAATAGATTTTTTTATATATCTAAACATCTTATTTACTTAAACAGAAAGTTTCTTTAAAGCCTTTTGATCTTTAATCACATACAATCATCATTGTATATATCTAGGTCTCCTCTAATATTCAAGACAAAACTGTTTTAATCATCACAAAAATAAATGCATGTACCTATATAAAAACAGGAGTCCCCCCAGCAACCTGGTGGAGGTGGATAAGCCTCTGCAGAATAACCAACTGGACTTTAACCTCCTGTTTTTAAAGGGGCTGAGACTCAGGAATGTATCTGTAATTTAAAACCTCATTTCATTTCATTGGTATCTGAGAGCTAGCTGGTCCTGAAGACTTTTCAATTGCCTCCCAGTGAGCTAAGGAGGATGAATGACTTGAAAAGGAAGGGTGGTATATTTGATGCCGTAACTTTAAGCAGTATCCCCTATCAGAATTCACGGACATTGTTTATGGGAAATCTCCAACAAGACTTAAATCACAGTTATGGGGATCTTTACAAACTGATTACCTTATGAAAAAGTCATATAGTCATCTGAGGCTGCTTCTGAACACTTACTGAAGGCCTGGAACTATGCCACGTGTTACATGCAATCAGAGGAAAAAGAGGATGGTACAAGCCGTCTCACGCTTACAGACTTTTCTACTGTGGATGAGGAGGCTGGGGAGACGGCTCAGGAGTCAAGAGCCTTTACTGTCCTCATAGAGGACCCAAATTTAGTTCCAGCTCCAGGGGATCTGACCCTCTCCTCTAGCCTCCATGAGTACCAGCACACACATGACATGTACTCACACAGATACACATACTTAGAAATAAAAATATATTTTAAAAATAGGATTTTGATGTATCCACATAAAAAGCATGTGGTTCTGTATGTATACAAACATGAGCTATTAAAAGCAACAGCAAATACGTAACAGAGTAGAGCATGCAGACCACACTAAGCTAAGCCTCTTCCTCTCACCTTCCCTCAGGAGCATGCTCAGAAACAACTTAAGTCTCCTTTCTTAGGTAGGTCTCCCTTCTCCACGCTCAAGCCACTTTGGCTGATTCAGACACTGCCTACAACTCTGTTCTTCCGTCCCACTCAACTAAGGATGTTTAGTTTTGTTTCGGGGAAGGGGTGTTGACACAGGGTCTTATCTGTAGCCCAGGCTACATCCCCCGCCCTTGACTAAGGATCTCAGTACTTCCCTAGTACAGAGAAAAGTATCTACCATATAAACAGCTTTCAAATAATGCAGGAATAAAGGAGGCAGAGTGGCCGGCCATCACCCAGGGAAAGATGCTTTTGAGCCCGCTTGCCCTCCTCCCACCCACGGAAGGTGGTCACCCTGTGGGAAGCTAACACCACTGAGGAAGGAAACGGGTAAGGGAGCTTTCTTCCTACTCTGAAAACTTCCTATCGAGATGCCCACTGAGACTGGTCAGTGAAAACAGAAAACAGCAAGGCCTACCGAAATGGCTTTTCTCCTGTATGGGTTCGAATGTGCTTCCGCAGGTCACTGAGTGTGGTGAAGTACTTGCTGCAGCCTTGAGATTCACAGTTAAACGTTTTCCCTGTGTGAAGCCTCTGATGTGCTTTCAACCTGCAAAATGTCCCGGAGAAATGTCCCACGCAGAAGGTACCACACACAGAGCCCCCCAGTGCCAGCCTGACCCCCTCTGGGGCCAGCGCACCAGAAGGCTACACCAGAGCACATTAGCAGCCGAAACTCACCCAAAGGGAAATGCAGAGATGCAATGGCACAGGGGTGTGAGCATTAATTCCTCAGAGACAGACCCCTTTGGGCTCAAGTCCTGGCCCTGAACTGCTAGCCAGGGACCCTGCAGAACTGCTCTGTACTTCTGTTTACTCTTCTGGGGACCACACTTAGAATTGTGCCTTGCACAGTGCACGCATCAGTGTCAGCCATTATTACTTCCCCCACCAAGTACTAACCAGGACCAACCCTGCTTGGCTTCTAGGATCAAACAAGACCAGGCACTTTCAGAATGGTATGGTCTATTATTTTGTTATTTTATGCCTAATACTGAAGATCTGTGTACGTCTCCTGACACAAACATGGAAAAAGAAATAGACATCAAGTGGCCAACTCCCCACCTCTCAGGATAGAAGAAAGTTGTCTCCAAGGCTTTGTGCCAACTTAGCCTTGAGCCAATGGGAAGACTACTCTATGCCAACTACTAAAATTCCAAGGCCACGCTCTCACTCTTTGAGATGCAAACCTACACACAGGTGTGCCAACGTTTCCCCAGCCCATGGTACATCTATTTTTAAGTAGTAGGTTCTGATAATGCATTTTAAATAGGTGAGTACAGCTATGCTCTCCAAAGTCCCCAAAGCTGTCATATGCAAGGAGAAAGTATTCTGTGGTCCCAAGCTCAGCGTCAGGAGGCTGGCAGAGCCATGGGGAGGCTGACCTGTACAGTGTGTTGAATGCCTTCTCACAGCCCTGCACATCACACTCAAATGGCTTCTCCTTTGTGTGCACTCGCACATGGATCCTGAGGCTGTAGGAGGTGAGGAAGGCCTTGCCACAGCCCTCCTGGTTACAGACGAAGGTGTACTCTCCTCGGTGAGTCTTCTGGTGGGTGCGGAGGTTGCCTGCTGTGCTGTAGGTGCGGGGGCATCCCTCAAAGGTGCACTGGTACCGCTTTACCTGACAGAGGACATGGAACACCGTATCAGTAGGGCAAACAGCCACCCGGATCTCACGTCTCCACCCTGGGACAGGGTCTCATCAAGCACAAGCTGACGGCAAACTTGTAGCCCTTAAACTTCTGATTCCCCACCATTTCCTCCAGAGAGCTTACATGCATGTGTCAGCATACCAGATCTGTATACGGTGCTGGGGACTGAACCCTGGGCTTTGTGTATGGTGGCAAGCACTTGACCAACTGAGCTACAACCCAAGCCCTAAGTCTATCTTTTTAAAAGCTTTTGTAGGTAGATGGAGAGCTGGCTCAGCAGTTAAGAGCATGCACTGCTTATAGAGGACCTGAGTTCTCTGAATCCCCATCAGGCAGCTCACAACTGCCTATGACTCCAGCCACAGGGGGATCTGTCATCTATGCCTCCATGGGCACATACACTTGCCCTGCAAACATACACACACACAGTCATAAACACACATGTAACTAAAAATCATATATACACATATGTTTTTCAAGACAGGGTTTCTCTGTGAGTAGCCCTGGCTGTCCTTGCCTCTGCCTACCTCTGCCTCCCAATGCTGGGATTAAAGTCATGGCCACCATTGCTTGGCATAAACTTTTAAAAATAAATAAAATAAAAGTTGTTTAAGGATTAAGAAAAAAAATTTGGGGTGGTGGTGGCACACACCTTTAACCCCAGAACTCAGGAGGTGGAAGCAGATAGATCTCTGTAAATTCATGGCCAACCGGTATACAGAGGAAACCCTGTCTCAAAAACAAAACAAAACAAACAAACAAACAAAAAAAGCAACAACAATAATAAAAGGATTAGGAATAATTTGTGTAAGGTATTTTAATACAGCAACTGACACATAAAGTATCCTATAAAATAGCTCATACCACAGAACAAAGGATAGATGGGGGAGAGCAGGCAGCATTTACCGCTACCATACTAACCAGTGAAAAGACTTGGTTGGCCAGTGGAGAAAAGCTAGAGCAAGGGAAGTCACAGCAGCTAAAAGAAAAAAGGGTCTCATGGGAAAAAAAACAAACAAACAAAAAAACGACTAAAATGACAAACGTCAGAGTAAACAAAGTAAGGGCCAGGGAAAACCACCAGACCCTCCACCACACACCCAACACACACTCCAACACGCACGCACGCACGCACGCACGCACGCACGCACGCACATACACGAGGATTCCCTAATGATTTAGCGAGACCCTACAGTGCCGGGGTGGGAGTCTGGATGGTGGTGAAGCAGAGTGAGCAGCGCAGGACCAGTACTTCGGGGCTGAGCTGAGGGCTTATTTCTAGAGGGGAGAAAGTCCTAGAAGAGCTAGGATGGTGGTGCATACCTGTGATCCTAGCACCCGGGAGGCTGAAGCAGGGGGATTCTGTGAGTTTGAGGCCAGCCAAGGCTGCATTACAAGGCTCTGTCTTAAAGTCTGAGCTATTATTACAACCCCTACGCCCCAACAAAAGGAAAATTCTGGAGGAAAGCGAATGAAGGCCTCAAAAGGAGCACACACAAGAGAAAGACAGTCTTTAAAAGCCCCATGGAGTTGGGGTACAGTTAGTGATAGAGTGCTTGCTTAAAACATGGTGGGAGGCATCTGGTGGAGCACAACTTTAATCCCAGCATTTGAGAGGCAGAGGTAGGTGGATATCTGAGTTCAAGGCCAGCCTGGTCTATAAAGCAAATTCCAGGACAGCTAGGACTACACAGAGAAACCCTGTTCTGGTTTTTAAAAAAAAAAAAGGAACACATGGTGGGAACCTTGGGTTTGATTGGCACAGAGATGACAAAGTAAAGCCTGAGTGGAGGGCCAGAGCCTCAGGGAGGAGAGAGCAGCACTTTCAGAAAGTGTTTCTTCAGAAAGGGTGGCTGGGCCAAGGATGGGTGTAATCAGGGCGGACAGTTTTCTGTCAAGTGTCAAAGAAAACCTATGCTGAACTTGACGGTCTGTTACTACACAGCCCTTGCCCTGCACGTTAAGAGTAGCCACGGACAACTGAACACTGCCATGTTTCAAAACCATTTATGGACACTGCAGTTTGAATTTCATATACTGTTCATGCATTCTGAGCTATCATCTTGATCTGGAAAGAACACTAGAGCCAGGAGAACTGGGACAGGCACAGCTGAGGGGCAGGGTGCTTTCCCAACACGTGCTCCACAGCCCTGGGTGCTGCTCCCAACAGGACATAGGTGTGCCAGCAACCTTAGCATGCAGGATCAAAAGTTCAGGGTTGGCCAGGTGTGGTGGCCTTGATCCTTGATCCCAGGGCTTGGGAGGTAGAGACAGATCGGTTTCTGTGAGCTTGGTGTCATTCTGGTTCACATAGAGTTTTCCAGGCCAGTCAGAGCTATACAGTGAGATTCTGCCTCAAAAATAAAATAATAAATTCAAGGTCATTCAGTTATCCTTAGCTTTACAGAAAATCTGAGG